GGCAGCAGTATCTTACGTTTTCCCCTACTCTCCTTTCCGGCGCTGTTCATTTCTCTCTCTCTCTCCCCCCCCCCCTTCGCTCTCTCTCGCCCTGCCACGTGCGTCTACCATCTCTTTATGTCTCCCCGGCCTGACTGGTTGTCTCGAATCTTCTCCCGACCTGTCTTCACGCCAACTCCCCCCCCCGACTCAGGGCAAGCCTCATCCTCAAGGGTCGCAGGACTGTTGTTGACTTGGTCTTTTCTTAGTTTTTATACCTGGCCATGCTGTTGTAGACATTTAGGTACATGTCCACCCCGGATGCAACAGCAGTCCGACACTCCAATGCTTCCCGGCCTCCCTTCGGAGTCACGGCGATTGCTGACTTACGGGTTTGGCGGTGCTACCGAGGACAACATGGACGAGTGCCGCCCCCTCCCCCACCCCCACCCCCGCCCCCCGACGAAAAATGAGGGGGCGCGGGGCCCCCGTGTTTGACTGGAGCGCGGGGGTGCGCGGCTGCTGTGCTGGCTGGCGTTCTCACTTATTCGCTTGATGTTGCAGGTGGCGCGTTGCACTTGGGTGTCCGTGAATATTTTATTTCCGCTGGGTTATTTACGATGAGGAGTTGGCAAGTCTAGGTATCTGGCGTCGAGGCAGGACGAATTTTTCGTGAGACGAAAATGATTTTTTTTCGGCGGGCATCGGCTGTTGCTCAACCCTCCCCCCCGTCCACTCTTCTCCCCCCTTACTAGTTAAGTTTTTTTGTTTTTGTCGTTGTTTTGTCGAGAGGATAAAAAACACTCTCGTTTTGCAGTATGTTTTGAGGAGTATCCCACGGGTCAGAAGGCAGAACTCGATACAGATCAGGCGTAGGATGACCTGACTTGATCGGTTGCGATTTTCAGTCCTGTCGACCATACCTGTCCCCGACCCGCGGTAATTCTGAAAATGTCGGTTCAGAAGCAGGACTGCCATGGGTCAGAATTGTTCCATTCGTCCCGTGCGGGAGCACACGGATGAGATCGTTTTTCCCCGCGTTTTTTTTCCCTCGGTCGTCCAACAGCTGCGTCATCTGTGTGATGTCTGTTGTTTTTTCTGCTGGTGATCAGTCCAAACACGGGTTATACCTTTGCTGCGTTTGGAGGCCTCGACCCGCAGCACAGCAGTGACCACCACCACCGCGGACATGCAGCCCGTACGGTAGATCATCGATCAGTTGCGTGCGTACACGCAGTATTCGCCGCCTCTTGACCGGACCAAAGTTGTGTTGCTTTCGGTAATGGTTGCACGGGGAACGGACGCATTGCGTGAGGTACTGTAGGTCATTTGCGTGGTATGTTTTTTCACACCTCGACTGCCGCGCACGAAGAAATAGAAGACATACATACATGCAGCCCTTTCACCGGCAAACCTGTTGGCTCTCTACGAGCTTTGATATGCGCAACTGGGTAGAGTTATTATGAAGTCAGTTACCCTCGACAGGATGCAGAAGCTAAGGAACAAGAAAAAAAGTAGATGCACTCAGACAAGTTGCCGTGACCTTCTCTTCCAGCAACGTGCTCTACCGTACGCGACACGAGATAACACACCCCCTGGACCGATTTTCAAAGCTCGATTACGCCACGGCGAAGAGGATGCATAAGCGAAACGATCCGTTTTCGGAAAGCTCTCGACAAGACGGCTTCAACGCCGCCGTTTTCGACAACACCGCCACTGTGTGGAGAAATCGAGCTTCGAGAATCGGTCCAGGGGGCGTGTTGTCTTGTTTGTGTCATCGTATACGGTACACATTTCCTCTCGAAATTTGAGGGATCCGTCGGGCATGACCCGCGGGCCAACTGTGTGCATGGGGCGAGCTACCCGTGACCTGAACCGTTTGTCGTAGATCACGACCTGATTTGGAGCCGCTCTTGCATGACAAGAGACTGAGGCTGATCTGGCAAATAATCTTGGTAGGGATGCCACCCGCCAACCCAGTAAATGAGGTGATCCAACCAACCGTGAGAGCATAAGCTGATCAGAACCGACCGGTGGAACAGCCCTGGAACCGATCTTCCCAAGAAGCCGACCTTACCTTGATGCCCGTTGCGGCATCCGTCTCTATAAAGCAGGGAGCAGATCAGGCCGTGACTGTCGGCAAGTCATTTTCATTCTACGCGCGCACCCACACGAGAATGAGAGCGCTGCCTGCCGCCATGCCTTCGGAACGAGGGCGATGATAGTTGCCCAGCCCGTACGCCTTTCCCGCCCGCCACCCGCGTCGGGTACGATGTTCCCAACTCTCCTGTTTTGTGTTCGGTAGATAGATATGTGTTGGTGTGCAGGAAAATAGTAGCAGATAAGATGCTTCCTGCTTGTTGCATGTCTTCTCGTTGTTTATGATTTTCTTCTCTGTATATGCAAAATGAACCCCCTTCGCCCTCCAGCTAAGAATCGGGGGTGGGTGGGAAGGCGAGGCGACCTCTTCTACAGTTCTTTCGCTTCGCCGCTCGTCAAGAAACCTTTGTCCAAGCATCGTTGCCGTTGTTGAATGAAACACGTCCAGCTCATACCGAACGATACGATGTTTTTTCGGTATGGAGAATTGCACATTTACTTGCCGCCGGCTTTCGGCGAGCATATTGAAATCCCGTCAAAGATTGCTCCATGCGCGACCACCCTGTTAAGACGGTAGTTGAACCTCTCGACGGCAGGCACAGGAAGAAAGCTGTCACGGGAAGGGTCGAAACGGGAATAATTGGGGAAGAGTGCGCCAAATCGACCTGCTGCAAGTACCAGCCGCCGAGCAAAAACGTAAACAAACATGTCAATGTGTACAGTATTTAAAAATGTGCAGGACCTGCCCCCAATCGTCGTGGTTGAGTGTTCTTTTGTTGTGCGTTCTCCCTGTATGTTTCGTCAGGCTTCTGGTGTGGTTTCGAATATTCCAAGCTGAAGAAGAATCTACTCTGTGGCAAGAATTTCTGAAATACAAATGCCAATGTTTTTCCCCAAAACCAATGAGTTGGCTGCGATGAACGTTTGCCCGACAAAGTCCAGCCATTATTGCGTGGCCATGAATGAGCCGATTCTCGGGATCATGAATTCGACAGACACAAGACGTGTGAATGTCTGGGTGATCTCAACAAGCACAAGCGGTATACCTCATGACCCCATGAGTGAACTTCAAAGTCGATGCGTGGAAACATCGTACGGATGTCGATAGTGAATATGTTACTCTCTCATTTACGAGTGAAATGTGGAACACCCAGAGCCAGCCTGCAAGGACGTGCCCAAGAAGGCGCACAGCTAGGCCTACATAAATAAGTGAACAAGTGAACACGCCGACCCGCGCCCCTTCCCCCCGTGATGTAACTCCAACCCCCACAAAATATAAATAATTCAACAAACAACACAGCGTTCCCCCGCAATGTTGTGCCACACAACACACCATAACCAGGCAGCAGCAGCAGCAGCAGCAGCAGCAGCAACAACAGCAGTAAATCATTGCATGCACGCGTGTTCAGATGGGTTATTGCTGGATTATTGCGCCGCTCGAAAACTCAATCGATGCGGACTACACCCCATCTCCGCCGCTACAAGCAAGTGCACGCACAATAAATAAACATTTTTATGTATCACCTACAACAATGGTGCCACCACCACCCACCGCAACCAGAAAACACGAGCTACTACTTTTCTATGTACGGGTGCTTCTGTCGGGGGGGGTCAAGGTCATCCCACACCCCGACCGAAAGAAAGAAATCCCTCATACCTTCAAGGCTTGCGCTCAAAACCAACTCACGCTTCTCGCGCGGAGCCATCATCCCAACACCCCGCAGGAATGAAACATTAGTATGGCAACACCCCGCAGGAATGAAATAATAGTATGGCTTGCGCTCAGTAGATACCAACACCTCGAAAACGCCTCAGAGCATATACTTCCGCCCTCTGCTATCTGACACATGATGTCTCCCCACAATAAAAACCTTCTCAAGCTCTGCTCCACAATTACCTTCTAAAACCGTTCCCGTCCAACTGACGCGGATCGGATGTCATCCGTAGCCACGGGGGCCAACTACCCGAACCCAGGGTCCGATACACAAAACATTTTTCAGTTCGCTTGTTTGCGCAGAAACAAGTCTGGCAGTTGGTGCAGCTCCTCAGAAACCTCAACAATCAACTGCCATATGTATGAGAACACTACCACACAGCTCCTCAGTCTCAACTATCGCGATACCTAGCACGCTATCGTTGAAAGTACACAGCTATCTCTCGCTTCACATCCACCGGAGAGATTCCCTCCGCGTTCTCAGCAGCAGGCGTACGCAAGTCATAACACGACCATGGCATGAAGTCGGCCACGCATTTCAGCATGAGTATGCCTCCTGACAAGGAAGTGGGAGGAAGAGCAAGCACGCAAGCTCTATGACAATAACAGCAACTGTTTGCGATTCAGGGCGATACACCCAAAATCCGGCGGACTCCCCGTATCGTCGCATCTTGCTGCTCCCAAGACGACTAGCGGCGGGCGATGCTGCTCGCTGTAAGCTACAATTTTCCTCTCGTCTTGCGGCCAAGGACTCACGAAATGACCGCAGGCATCACCATCGCTGACGCCCGCACCCTCTCTCCCATTCACACTCACTCCGTCCCCCGTCACACGCTCAATTCACTCTCCCGTTGTCTCGAAGACAATCAGAGCAACAAACCCCTTTCGGGCACACAGATGCGCCCAACACCACCATCGGAAGCGTCACACCGTGGTATCGGCACATCGCGTTCCAAAATGAAGGGTGAAGACATCGCCAAGGTACCGCACTACCCCCCCCGGACGGAGAGCCTGGTCCGGTGAGAACCCGGCGTGCTCCGTCCCGGCTTGTAGGGATGCGAGGTCAATGGTCTAACGACTACGGCATGCACGACTATGAGTACCCCCCCCCCCCCCCCCCCCGTCGGGGGGATTTCGGGAAAACCCCATTCCCGGGTGCTCCGGATGCGGCCGACACATAACGCATTCCACGGGGCCTCTTGCTCCTCAAAGCGCAGCTGGCGAGTGAGGCCCGCCCTCCTCCAAAAGTAAGGAAAACAGTCTGTACCGTGATCGCCTCGCTTGACGATCGAACCACCCAACGGTGGTACAAGATGTAAATAAATATCCACCATTCAGGGCAAAAAAAAAATCCCCTCGTGGTATGCATACATAAGATGGTTGATGCAGAGAAAAGACGAGGATTCTAGTCATTTCTCGCCCCCCCCTCCTCCTTTCGTGCATGCAGTCAATATATATATTCCGCAACACGACACGGGGACAAACAGAGCACAAACAACAGCAACGACGCCCAACGTCCCCAGACGCAAACCGAAAAAAAAGGGGAGGAGGTTGTTAAAACCAAAAAACCGAAAAAAAGGGTGATATGACAAGTCTACCCTACATAAAATCACCAACAGTCGATTTCAACAGGTCAATTACAGCAAAAAACCATATGGGTAGTTTGAGCCACGTCACGTATCACACAAGGCGTTGACTTGGTGCCCCCTGTGAACATGATGGGGGCTCAAGACCAAAATATGAAAAGAAAAAATAGCATGGGACAAGGAAGAACATCAAATCACACACGCCCGCTGTTGACTCTCTCTCTCTCCCCCCCAAAAGAGCGACCGCAACGCGCGTAAAAGGAAACCCCCGCCCACAGATGACCCCCCCCCCCCAACACGCTACGGCGGGCCTCTCATATGGCGCTCATTCCAGACTCTCACTTCTTCTGTGGATCTAAGGGGAGCTACGGCAGTTTGTGCCGAAAAAACACAGTTGGATCGGTGCTGCACATGACAGACAGCGCCCGGCCTGACCCCGACACGAAAAAATGTCTTTCTTGGCGTGTGGCGTGAAGCGTTTGCAATGGGACGGACAGAAAGGCAGACAAACGCGAACGAACGAACGCTTTCCGCCCCATCTGCGGACGAAACGAGAAAACCTCGGAAGGTAACACAACGCACAAAAAACTCTCGGCAGAACCCGTGATGATGATGATGATGATGATGATGATGATGATGATGATGATGATGATGTTGTGCGGCTGCCCGCACGTATGCATACGGAAACGTAAAAAAACTATTTCCCACACCGCCGAGGGCAGCGACACAAAACAACAACAACAACAACAACAACAACAGCAACATGAGCAACACAGCAGCGAGATCAACAACAGAAACAACGTCGAGAGACTGTGAGCACACGCAGGCCGATACACGCACGAATCAACAACTCGGCAATAGGTAGAGGGCAGGCAGCGCGAGCCCGTCACGTGACCATCGTCAAACACTCGGAAAAACCGCCGCCTTCTTTCCACCCCATGATCATCAAACCAAGCCTGGCACCGGTTGGTAGACACCTTCGCCTAGCCCTCCGAAATACGCCCCAGGGTTCGCGCGCAGCAGCCTCGAAACGTCTGGGTGACACGACAGCAAAAATTCTTCCCCAACAGCCAGATTATCTAAAGCCCTAGCCAACCTGGAACCGTCCTCAAAACGACGGACAGCTGGGGTGGTGTACAAGTTTCTTGACTGATCGTCATGAACCAATCGCCAAGGGGAAAACCGGGGTGGGGTGGGGCACGCAGGCTGCCATAGAGAAGAATCGGATCGAAAGCTCAACAAAAAAAACCTCCCCACAAAACAAACCAGCGCATGGTCCAGACAAGGCAAGAGACGCGCGCGCCGGCGGGCGTTCTTTTCCGTACCATCCTTCTTCCCCCCACTAAACCGTAAAAATAAAACAAAAATAGCATAGACGCACAAGCAGCAGCGCGAAATCAATATAAACAAAAACGTCACTTACACATATCCCTGCGGCACAACAATGAAACTCCACGTTCATTGGGCGTGCGACAACAATCGTCGAAACTTAAAAAAAAAAAAAAACGATTTCTTTCTTTTTTGGGTGCGCCCGAACGCGGAACGCGCGCGTGACATTATCAGCGAACAATAACAGCAACACGAGTGACAACCAAGTGACACAAAACAATCATAATCAAATTGGCGGTTTGTTGGGTGATGCCACGCCCACGGCCGGCTACGGCGCGGCGGTGGTGGTGCCGCCTCCAGGGACTGCCGCCGCGGCCTCCTCGAGGATGGCCACCGCACGGGCCCTTAGGCTCGCCGCTTCCGGTCTTCTTCCTGATAAGGGAGAGAGAGAGGCAGAGAGAGAGAGATGGAGGGGGAGAGCGAGAGGAAGAGGGGGGGGCGAGGGAGACAGAGAGGGAGAGAGAGAGGGGGGGGGAAAGAGGGACAATCAGGCAGGCAGGCAGGCAGGCAGGCAGGAGCGTGCGATGGGGAGCAGCATGCCCAGAGAGAGAGAGGGCGTTGGGGTTACCAAGGAAGGAACAACAAAGACCGCGATTGGGAGCAGGATGCCGAAAAAGAGACGGGGGGGGGGGGGGGGGGCC